TACTGAATTATGAAATGGCTTTACATTTGTAACTGATATCAACTTCGCAGATCAATAAGATGCAATAAAATTGGCAGTCCAACTTTTTATTATGATTATTCTCATATAGAAATTCCATTTCCATCTCATTCGCTTTGAAAAAATAAAAAAAGGACTGATTGTAGTGCTGGTGAAAGGTATCAATTTTGCTGATATTTCTGGCAGCTGGAGACATCCATCTAAATATCAAATGCTGGCTCCCCTACACTGCTTTCCAACAGAGCTGAACCTGCCAAATGTGAGCACTTGTGCCAGTCTGATATAGGATTTTCATAAAAGGTAGGTATCGTGATGAATCAGCTGAGCAGTAAGAGGTCAGCTGAGGTCACTCTGATGAATTTGTTAAATAGTGAATATGCTGCTCTGCTCTCTCCTGACTCTGTCCAGGCAGAGAAAGGCTCTGGGATAGCTGGAGAGTATTGGAGCAGCTTGTGCCTGGAGCAATTGGCTGAAAGGCATTTAATTATTATATTACGGTCACTGGATGATTAGATGCAGCCAACTAATTTATCAGAACAAGGGCTGATATCCTGTAGTACTTCACTGTCCCACTGTGGGAGAAGATTAAAACAAAGACCTATGAGGCAATCCAATCCATCTCCTATTGACACCTGCCTACTTGGAAAAGGAAACAAAGTGTTAATGTATTTTATGCAAGCTACTGAAGTGAACAGCCTTGTGCTGGTGATAGTTTTGGGTCACTGCAGGGCTGAGCTGAATATGACCTGAGAAACTAGAAAGGAAAACTCCGATAATTCATTACCAATTCACTGAACTATCCCAGGGATTCTACTAGCAATACAGTCTTTTGCAATGCACATTTTTAGCACCTGAAACGTCAAAAAGAATGGTGCCATCATCTATTTATTTAGATCTCAGACAGCCAAAGAGGTAGTACAGCTGCTTGGTGCTGAAGCCTGAAGCTTTTGCTCAAGCAAAAATTCTGTTGTAATCCATGGAAATTTAGTTTCAATAAAAACTGCACAATTTTTTAAGCCAATAAAATAGCCAATCAGGCATACCACACCTTATTAGTTTATTAAACTGAATCCTCTGATTACACACTGGAAACTTATAAAAGACTTTTACTTTTAGCAACTTCTAGTCTTGAGAAATTTCCAGAAACATATTTATTAACTTCCATGGCATTACATGATGCCACTAGTTAATAGAACTTCTTTTAGACCTCAAGAGTCTGGTACCAATGTTATGAACTGTGAACAGCAATTATATATTTAGCAAAAAATTAGAAGGGTGAAAAATGCTGTTGCTTAGTTTGTTTGTTTTTTTAAACGAAATGCAAGTGTATTAAACCTGATTCAACAAAAACCTACATCTAGCTTAAACACATTGAACCATTAGGTACCTAGAAGTCTTCCTAAATCCAGTCAAATGGCATTTCCTTCCAAATGAGTTGTTATCTCTAAATTACTCATGCTATAACCTCAGTAAGACATTTCAACAATTCTGCAGTAATAGTACAGCCCAGACTGTGTTATGGCTTAGCTCCCAGTATGAACTCATAGCTTCTGATATAAGTACTAAGACAAGACACATTAGCACCATGAAGCTAAGCCCCTTCTGTTATGAGAATGGAAATAAAACAGAAGACAGATTTTGAATCCACAGTGAAGTAGGTGATGTGGATGAAGAAAGCTTTGGTGCAAACAAGGAAACGGGTTCCATAAGGGATATTTAAACTTTGTTATTTCCCTCCTAAATATTAACTCTTTTATGAGCTGGATGGATGATGCCACACTATGGTGTTAGGACTGTAAGCAGGGAAGTAACTGATCCATGAAAACCAACATTTCTTTACGTTGGTGGGAACTGCCTGCCGCCATGGACAGAATTTGTCCCATCATTCACAAAACAGTAATGGCTATAATTTTCTGTATGGTCTTCCAAGAGTGCTCCATTATCTACTGCACTACATACACATGGCTACCCTGTCTTTCCCTCTTTTAGGTACTGTATGTATATAAATCCACTACAAAAGTGCCCTTTATCACTAGTACTGTAATATCTGTATGGTTAGCGGAAGTGCTCTTTACCCAACATTTTCAAATGTGATGACTGCGCACCCACCTCTGCCACTCACTTCACCAGAAGATGCAGGTGCTCAGCATCTTCAGAAAAATCTTATTTAGGTGTCTAACTATGTAGTTAAACATCTTATGTGACATGAACCTGGGTTATAAAATATAAAATGTTAGCACATTACATAAATAAAACCTGATCTCAGAGTTGTCCACACACAAAAATAGTGAACCCTTTAACTATTCCAGTATAGTTATAGTCATAAGACTCCCCATAGTGTGGATGAAATTATTCTGATATAAAAGTATCTATACCAGTATCAAAAGTTCCTCAGGGAAGAGCAATAGACTATATCTGTTAAAAGCATCTTTATACTCATATAACTGTATTGATACTGCAGTGGTTGTTTTAATTTAAATACCATATTTACCCAAATCCAAGGTGACTCTGAATTTAAGACGATCCCCCATAATTAGATTCTATGCATGGGAAATTTATAAATGTTAAATGGGGGTGGGTTGTCTTGGACTTGAATAAATACAATATTTCAATAGAAACCAAAATCATCCTTATCCTCAACTGTTATGATAATATAAAGACTGTGTATAAGAGAACATATAATAAATAGAAAACAGGCTCTTAATAGGTTAGATCAAAGTGGGCACATATACATGTGCACTGGACTGTGCAGTTGTTACTGTGCAGTCATTTAATATTTAAGCAAGTGCTAAAGCATTAAGTACTTAAGGAAGTACTAAATGACTGCACAGTAACCGGCAGTCCCATTGTCACACGGTTGTTTTTAGCTGCTACTGTGCAGTAGTGCTGGGGTCACAGTTTGTGCCCAGTCATGCTATTTCACCATAGCAATGAGTTACAGCACAGTAGCTCATTGCTATGGCAATATAGCATCTTGTGTAGACGCACCCAGTGAATGCTATTGGTCTAACCTGAATACTAAACACAGTCAGTGGGTGTGTCTGCACGTTCATTAATGTGTCGCAGTTACTACTTAGTATTTAGTTACCCAAGTACTAAATCGATGCGCAGTAACTTGCAGTACTGCTCAGTAGTGCCTGCACAAGGGTTTTTATTGACGCTTACTGCACAAGAGTCTAATACTACTGCACAGGAGCATCTTAGCATGGTTTTTGTCTGGCATGCAACTGCACACTGTGATTAGGCTACTGCACAGTTAGCATCTCATGTAGACGTGCCCAGTGACAAGTGCCTATAGGATCAAATAAATTTGTTTGGTCAATCAAGCATTTTGCTAAGTGAAAGCTCTGTTAATACCTACCAAGAAAACTGTAACTTACACTTCTAGAGTAGCATAGCTCTGCTTTGCTCCAGCCCATCCAGTGACCCCTCACCTCATTCTCTGCCATCTGTTCCTCCTTCTATTCTAGTGTAAGTATGTCAGGCAGGTTTAGGAGACAGCAGAGTCCTTTCCACCAACTTTGTGCCAACAGAGTTTCTCTATACATGGAGGGAATTCTCCAGTGCCATATAAGTAAACACAGACCCATCTACTCTAAGGCCAATTCTATACTACAAAGTGTTTGCTGGCATAACCATGCTGGTTAGGGGGCAAGGACACAGCCATGCCTGCAAAAGGTTTCTTGCATGGGCCTAGTGATACCCAGTACTTGCAGAACTGTGTAACCAACTTTACTCAGGGTTGGAGGAGGACTAGAATAAGCCATGTCAGCAAAAAGTATAATTTTAGTGGCATAAGATGAACCCACATTAACAGTACAGTATTTTAGTAAAATGCTACTTGTGTAGACCTGGCCACAGCTTCCTTACAGGCATGGACCCCCAGGGAATCAGGGAGTGTGGGTACAGGACAGAAAGGTGATGGAAAGCTTCTTGTTTTCCAATTCCTCAGGTGCATCAAACCCTGTAATAGTGCTTAAGAGGGTCTGGCCTAACATGTTTGAACTGTACTTCCTTGTCTTCCCAAAAGCATAAAAGTAGAAAGAAAACATCAGTGATAAAATACAACTCAAAGCAGAGGCACTGGATGGATTAATGACAAGCATTGCTGCATGACTCAATGGGGAACAAAGGCATTTTCTACAAACCTGCACCTGTGCTATAAAGGGACCCTGTGATTCACAATGAGGCTGATGGGATTTTTTTGTTGCAGGAGGGTGGAATGGTTGAAGGGGCTCCCACTGTATTGCTAGTTTCTAAGACATAGCAAAGTTGGCTGAATGCCTCATTTATACAATCCGATATTGTAGCATTAAACCCAAAGCCCGGAGAGGGCTGAGGGCGCATGACTGACTGATGCTCTTGTTATTACAAATTTCCCAAGGTTATTTATGCAAAGCATTCAAATTTTGTCTTGCTCTGGCCCCATTTCCAGAAGCTAGGTCCCTTTGAAGTTCTCCTCCTCCAGCTTTCTTTTTAAAGAGCACACTCACGGTAGACCCCATTCTCTTATATGAACAAAAAGTGCAAACACTGGTGGAACATCAAAGCCATTAGCCCAGTGTGTAACGCTATAGGAAAAAAAATATAAAGTGAGAACAAGATTGGCCATAAGACAGTAGAAAGGAGGTGAAGAGAGTAAGAGGAAAAGGGAGGAAAAAATAAGATGAAAGGAAAGGACAAAGAATAAAAGAAAAATAGAGAAATAAAAAGGGAAGGAGGTGGGAGAAATTCACATTCAATGTACAAAACACTACAGAGTTGCTCATGACCAAATCACAAATATTTTATGGCAATGTGGCACACCTTCCAGCCTTTCCACCATATCTTGGCCTGGAGGCTTTTCCAAAATGATGTGAATGACTTTTGAAAAAAAAGGGAAGGGTGAAGGCATCAGGAAGGTCAGGAATAGGGAGGTTTATAAATATATCGATATATATCATAAATCCATTTACTGAATATTGTAACAGAGAGCAACTCACGGTGAATTTACGCTGGAGACTGACGAGCTGCGAGATACAGTACCTCGAGTTTGCTTTACAAAACTGCACATGCAAAAAACAAAAAAACAAAAAAAAAGTGAGAAAAAAAAGAAGAGAAGAGAAAGTATAAGAGACATCGGGAGGAGACTCATACAGGCTGTGTCCTATCGAATGCAGGTGGCCGCGTGCATCTTGGATGGAACCCAGGCAAGCTTCAGAAAGTGCAGAAGCCACAGAGACACCGTCTTCTAGTTAAAGGAAAACAACTGAAGAATCAAAACGGAACCGAAAGAAAAATTAAAAAGGTGAACCAAAAGCCACAAGATGGTACCAAGACTTTATGCCTCATTATGCTGTACACCCACAGTGAAAGTTCTCTGAGGAAAGCCACCTTCAGGGCCTCGTGGCAAAGGCTTTTCCAGAGACAGGTAAAGATTGCATTTATGGAATATGCCGCCAAGATTTATTCTAAACTGAGGATGCAATCCTACTAATGCTAACTCAGATTACTGCGACGCTAGTGAAAAATGGCTTAGCCCATAGAACATGCCAGCTGTCTGGGCAACCAGGGAAATACGGTCCGTCTCAAACAAGAGTTTATCTTTCTGCTGAAGAAATAGCTTGAGCATTTAAAGGAGCTTATTTTGATCTGCACTTCATTTGGCAGATTCCCCTCCATTCAACATTTGTGATTGCATAGTATGCCTCTACAGAGAGAGGGAATTCTAAATGCAGAAACAGCTGAACTTCACTGAGATGGGGCTTGTTCCTCTTAAGGCAGGAAGTTAACAGACGCTTCAGTTCTAATTTTATATACATATACATGCTAAATATTGGTCCTATAAAGCCCAAAAGTCCTATCATGTTGTCTTTAAGGAGGAGATGGACAGTGTACAGCAGAATGATCAGGTGGAGTTTTAAATATATATGTTCCAAAATAGGATATTAATAAGCAGAGTATTATAACAGTAAAGTAGACCAAGGCAGAGGATATATATGAATGCTACATCACGGGGCCTCAGATGACCCATGTGCCAGATCAATCATTAAAGATACTTCTTTATTTTTGCTTAGAATAGCTAAACTTAAAGAACAGTCTTATAAAGTTATCTTGCATTGACTTCCAATTACTATGCAACATCCTGCCCTGAAACAAATGAAGTATTTAACCTGTTGGTGGTGATACATTCTCATGTTTCAAAAAGGAATTACTGTTTGAGAGGGTCACCTCTGCTGGTGACTCCTTTCATTTTTTGATTTGTCTAGATGTGGTATCCACGGGATGCTAAGTAAAGCCTGCAACACAGGACACTAAAACTGCACGAATATCTTAACTACACATAACAAACAGCTTGAGTAAAATAGGTGGGGAAACTCAGAATGGAGGACAATGTACTGATCTGGCTTAATTTACTGGCAATTCAGAGGGGGGAAAAAAAGACCAGCACTGTGCAAAGGTGCCTGTGGAAGAATCAGAGGTTGAATTTTGCCTTTTATTTCTGAAAGCACATCTCAAAACCCCTTGACAATGTACTTAAATTTATCGTGTTCATCATAGCCTCACTTGGTGCAGTGCAGGATGGAGATCCCTACTGCGATGCTGCAAAACATCCCTGCACTTGACCAAACAAGATTATGTAAGTTCTGCAGAAGTTCATGTTCATTTCTTTGGTATCATTACCAGAGTCCTTCTTGTTAAATACCAACCAACTAATACCATACTGATGCGAAACAATATAAAACCACAAAGCAAAAACAGCCTGCTTTTTCGAACTGAAATAAGGGAGGTATTTGTCCTTTGCTTGGTGCTACTTACCAAAGAGATCAAGAGAGACAAAGAAAGAAAGGACAAGAAAGAGTTTTTTTTTCATTGGGGAGGCTGTTTGCTTGTTCACAGTTAACCACAGCACGGGCAAAAAGGCAAACTAATAGGAAGAGGTCACTAAAACCCACATACCAATACACTTAAGGGGAAAAAAAGGAAGGTAAAACAGTGGCAAGCTAGCAAGATATAGAGAACACCTCTTCTAGTCTGTGGATCACCATGTACAGTAGTTGTTAGCTGCCAGGTGTTCAGACATATTTCTTGCAGGGTTCGACTGATGACCAACAGCCATGCCCAACAATGTTTATAGAACAGACCAAAAAATCCCAAAGACAAAAGGAAATATGAAATCTTTGAGACAGACAATGCCTTGAGGAAACAAAATGACCCTCCCAGTCTTCAACCCCAAATCAGTACAAAAGGGACAGATAACCATTGAGAACTTTGTGAAGACAAGGTGCTACTGTACTTGCTCTCCAGTCTGCAGTCTCAAATATTTATTTGGCCACTTTAAATGAGTTGACAGCTCCTTTGTGTCAGAGCTATCAATATAGGAAGTATTATATACATGGGAACTTGAGGTCTGAGCTAGGTGTGCAAATCATAGACAAAATGGCCTTGAATGACCATATAAGTGACCAGCAAAAATCAGAAAGTGAGCCTTTATCGAAACGTTGAATAAGACTGAGTTGGAAACCACATGGATTTACTTCAAAAAGAGGTCAGTCATGTGGTCAGTCATGTAGATAAATCCTAGTCAGGACTGAATGCATACGATGTGCGAACTGTCACCTTACCATTTACTAGTCTTACAGCCATCACAAGAGAGGATTTCATCCCCTATCTAAATCTTCCACTGGGAACCTACTAGACTATATGCTTATTTAGCTACAACTAAAAACCATTATCACTGTCAAACAAGGACATTTACTAGCATGATAGGCACAACTATTTTTTTACAAATAGTTCAACTACAAATTCGTAGTTTGTATAAATTTAGCATTTGATTTTTACTGCTACAGGGGTTATTTTAAGACTTTTCCTAAGAAGAGTTTGAGACAGGTCACTGGAAAACACCCAAATAAACAAGTAAAAAGGTGATTTATTTTAAATATAAGTTCAGCACTGGTACACTACAAACATGAGTGGTGAATAGGATGTGTGTTCAGGGCTTCAAATTCCTTTATAAATCATAGCTTGCCCATCAGACCAGTCTATTGAACTGTGAAAGGTGCTTGTGTGTGTTTCTATTTAAAGCAGCCCCTTTTGTACATGACATTGGTGCATCTCTGGCTGAAAAAGAGGAGGCAGAGGAGGAACTCAAAAGTGAGGAGTTTAGGACTGAAGTTTTATGAACAGTCAAAGTCTTCTACCAAAAATTATATTTAAAAATAAGGTTTTTTATAGCATAATATGAACAATTCTGATGGTATCAGATTCCCTGGTGCCTTTCCTATAAGCATCTCACAGTACATCATGCATTCATTGACTACATGTCACACTTAACAAGAATAATAATTAATCCTCCCTTCTTCCCCATTTAGATGAGAAACATGGAATAGCTTGCCCTGACTTCTCTGGGCCATAGTGGCAGAGCAGGGATCAAAACCCTAACTCCTAGCTCCCCGTATCTTGTTCTAACTTGTAGTCAGCCTTACAATTAATGGGAACTCCTGTAAGTTGTACTTCCCCCTTGCTTCCACTGTCACCACCAAGGAAGCTGCACCAATGGCTTATTGATTAGTCCAATCTGTTAGTACAGTAACTCAGTTCAAAGGCTGAGCAATTTAAACGCTGTACAAAACAGAGGGCCTTAGAAGACAAAGCTGGATGTTTGAAACCGAACAAACTCAAACTCACCTCAAGAAACAATAAAGCAAGGAAAATGCTAAACAGAAAAAACAAAATCACAAAACCAGAATGTAACAATGAGCTCAAACTAAAATGTAAAATAAAATAGAGGTTAAATATTTTGTTTTAAAACAAACATTGCAACAGAAAAAAAATGTCCTGCAACAGCTTTGATCCTGAAAAAGAAAAAGCCTAGTCAGGATAGAGTTCACCAGGTGAAAAAGCAAAGCCTTAGCCAAAACAATCTATTTCTATTAGTCTATTTTGCAGAGCATAAGTTAGACCACAGAAAGCAATGAACCGGGAACTGAAAAAGTGTAGTAGCTTACTTCATGGCTTCTTCCAGTTACAGATGCAATATTATAAGAAAGCGTTTTCTCAGTCAGTTTTAAGACAGATTATATCCTTACTTCACTGCAGTAATCAATGCATTATTAAAACAGTTTCAAATTTCAGTAGTAGGACTTCACCATCCATCAACTGCAAATAATTCTTGGCTCATGCAGCATCCTATGCACCTGCAAAATTCTAAAGTATCAGTACACTGAAATCAGGCTAGCATACTAAATAAGTAACCTAACATACATGACAACGAGCCTTTCTTGGAGCTTGCTGGTTGTTGGGGGGAGAAGGGGAGAGAGGGCAGTGGGGCAATTTCATAGATTTCATAGACATCAGGGCTGGAAGGGACCTCGGAAGATCATCAAGTCCAGCCCCAAATATTCCACAGAAGAACAGCAGCACTTAAGACAGACAAGTAACAGGTATATGGATATGCGTATATGTTTCCACATGCAAATGAAAGCATACTATATATACATATAGCAACAATGCACAAGGGCAGAAAACCTGGAGGCAGCACCACACATTACGTTGCATATATTTAATTAGTAGCGTCAAAAGTGCAACTCAAATGAGACGTTGCTGAGACGAGTAAACAGGAGTGAGCAGGAAAGTATACAAGATTTTCTCCTTTATACTGTGCAAAATAACCACGGACAGGAGCAAAACAACAAGCACAGCATCCTACTCTGAAACAGAGGGAAAGGGAAAAAAAAAGGAATGACTACTGTACCAGGTCAGTTTTGCCACCTTTGTAAGTTCTCAGAACTCAAAAAAACAGTCTCTACATTAGTAATACCATTTAAGAGTCCCACTAAAAGGTGTGCAGAGAAGCATATTAACATCAACACTATCAGTGAAAACGTTTAAATTACTACAGAGACCAACTTACCTGAATGCTAGGAGCTGTGACATTGAGCCCTGCAATAGCCAAGATCCTTTGTAGAGATGAGCCAATGTTGGAAAGGGGGAGGGAGGGAAGGAACTGCAGGGGTGGATTTACACCTCAACTCAAGGCTTGCTGAACCATCTGACCTACATCAAACAACAATTTATCCACGCAGCATACCCACCTCCTTACCGTTAATCTTTCTGTATTTATGTTTACTTGTTTAACTCCTCAGCTTGTATTCTCCTAAATTGTCTCCTAACCTAATGTCACTCATGCATACATTCTTTTTTTTTATAGTTGACTTGCAAATAGCACTGGCTTCTATATTGCAGATATAGCTGCTTTAGAGACACACTGTTCATAGAAGATGACCTAAATGTTCAAACATGGCCTCCAGTATTCCACAATTTTCTGCTGCTATTAAATACGGGGAAAATGTACTGCACCTCCAGCTGCATTCATTTGTCAACCTAACTGCTTGAATGTACCTCCAAAACAGGCATGTAAGTGTCTGTGTAGACATAATGGCAGACAAAATAAAAAGGAACCTTCAATTTAGTACTTACATTTAATTGTGGTCACAAAACTGGACCAGAGATATTGAAAACCAGGTTAAAGGCCAATGAAACATTGTGGAATAAAATTATAGTAAGTAAGAAGCTGATATGAAATCTTGGACCCACTGGAGTAAATGGGATATGGGGCTTCTAAGTTATTCTTAAATACATATTCATTTTATAATAACAATAATAAAAATAAAATAAATACCAACACCACCTTCCATTTTTAAATATTAGTACAATAAGTATGTCAAAAATGAGCATAACTTCTCATGTGGATTCTATTTAAGGCTAATGGCAAATCATTGTAAGGGCATATTTATATATAAAGCCAACCAAATATGCACTCCAACAGTAGTAGCTGATTAAAATAAGCATTGCACAAAAATGATAATAGCAATACAATGATTACCTTTTATGCATAATCCATTTCACTTTCTTTCACATTCAGTGAATCAGTTTCATTTGCCTTATTGCATGCGCTCACTAAGATAATGCAATTCTTCATTAAATACACACCAAGACCTCCTGAGATTAATTTACACTGAGGGAAATATATTGACTAGTCAAATAAGGCTTTAAATATTTTGGAATAAAACTGAGCAGGAAATTACTCTTAATAGGTTTAGTCTTCCCCAGTCCTTGGAGTTGTTTCCAGCTGCCCTTTTCTTATGACTGGAGACTGTCCAGAAATATGTGCAGCACTTAGCAAAAGGGTGGATAGTGTCTTTTTCACGTTAACACTCTCAAACTTCCCTCATGGAATTTCATAACCTTCCCAAATGAATGTGTGCTCATAAGTATATTCAAGATGCCGAGATTTTCAAACACAGACCATAAGTAGCATAAACAAAATGTGCACTTTCCAAAAGGGAGCTCTTTGAAGTCCGTACTCTAGTAAAACTGCAACTAACCTCACAGATACGAGGACATCTATTTCTACCCACAGCTGTTAAGTTTCTCTATTTTAAAAGCTGGCCCCAAGAGTGAATTTTTCTTCCAAACTGAGATAACAAAATACATGTGTATGTCCATGTCCATGTCCATGCATAAAAGTCTTTATTTGCAAGCTGATGCTTCTCAACGTACCCCAGGTGTGCATGAGTGTCTGTTTTCATATGCAAGTTCCCTGCTTTATATTATGCTAATACTTTTGGGAGAGCAAGCAAAGAATGTGCATAGCTGATTTTGTGGCTACAGTTTAGGAGGCTGTCTTTACATTTTAATTCAGAAAGCACTGATCACTGTAACAGAACAATATCATGTATATTACACACATATTTCCACCTTTCAGCATTGAAAATCTTAAGTGAAATGTTAACAGTTCACCTGGTGAAGTCTTTCCTAAAGCAACATAAAAAAATCCTCGATAATGCATATTTTTTCAGACAATGACATTTCAAACAAAAATAATTTACAAAAAAAACTAAATCACAGACATGGTTAAGCATCTAACACGAAGTATTCAATTTAAAGCCCATTAATCCTTTGTACTCTATGGCAGGGCTTACAAGTTGTATTAGGTACTGAAATAAAGCAGACTTGTATCGAGTCTGAAAAACAGAAATAAATTGATAATATTTCCCAAATAAATAAAATAACACTTACGCTGCTATGGAAATGTTAGCAGCAGATATGGGACTGACTTCTGCTACCTCCTTGGCCTTTTGAAGAGCAAGTTTTTGATTTGTAGCTTCTTCCATTTCCTCTTCATCCTGTTTCAAACATCAAGTCACATCCAGAATTATATCATTTACCGTTTCGCCAAAACCCTGGCATAAAATCAGTGGAACTCTCCAATGGACGGCTGCCGTAGCCACATTTAACTAAAAACAGTTAAAACACTGAAAAATTGCATTTGTTTGTTTTTAAATATATACTGCATGATTTGATTTGACATAGGATATTTTGTGAGCAGGGCACATGAGCTATACCTGTTTACAGTCATATTGGAAAGTTATGAGGAATCTGAAAACTGCAGCTATCATGTAAAATGTGCAGGTGATTGCAGCTCTATTCATCTTTAATTTAGTGCCACAGGCTGTCAAAGGCTAGAAAACACAGAACGCAAGGTTTTATCTTGAACTGAATGCCCTCTTGCCTTGGCCAAGATGGAACACTGTGGTGCTGACAGACATGCAGTTCCCCACTGTAACTTATGGTGCTTCACAAAAAGCACCATGAGTTACAATGACCAGACCCCCGCGCCCCACTCCCAACCCAACAGAAGTCTGCTGTTTGGTGGAAGGGGGACACATTTTGGAGCTCAATTTCCACTTGGGAGCTGTGTCTGCCAGCTCTGGTGCTGTCTGCAGGTTAGGCAAGGGGAGGGAGCTCCAGTCTGGGGTTTGCCCAGCCTGCACCATACCACAACTCCCTTCCTTAAGTGCAGGCTGGGCTTTGGAGCACAGTCATCTGAACCCTCATTAAATGAGAGTTAATTTGTCGCATGATTGAGCATTTTTAAGAGTGCTCTGCAGCCGTGCACTTCTGTCAGGACACAGCTGTAAAGTGCTTTCAAGGGCTGATCACATGACAGATATCACTTCTCCCAGTGCCCTGTCTGTTACCTGTAATCTCTAAGAGCATCACCATTTATGTGTCATCACCATTGTCAGGCAACATGTAGCAGAGCGTGGAAAGAATGTATAAGAAATATAACACTGTAAGTAAAAGGAGGCCATATTCCACTAATTATATGGAAAGTGATTTTTTTGTACTGGAAGACCTGATTCTGATCTCACTAATACAGGCTTGATACCCATATAACTCCACTTATTTCAGTTATATAATTTTAAATTCCCCCTTCTTAGTCATTAGATTTGACCCCATTACGAATGCAGAAACATGTCTGCCATTTTTTCAATTAAAAAAAAAAATTATTTACTACTTGTTATTCTTATTAACACTGCAGGGGCCCATACATTTGTAGAAGTGTGATCTATTAGCTTCTAGCGTGTGTATTATCAACAGAATTGTTAATTAAGTTCTAACTGCATGATTTTTATTACAGGTAATAAGGCACAAATAGCAAAGGACCAAATCTGACTCAAATCCTAAGGTCAGGCTACATTTCTGATAGTTTGATGAAACACCATTTTAACTTTCAAACTACTCAGAATTGGTAGGAGAATTATGAAAGGATAAACACTGAGTCCTATGATGCCACTTAAAGCATCACTTCTCAGGACCTAATCAAGCTTCAGAAAACAAAGGCATATCTATATGGAACTCCATGCAACAACATTTGATTAGCTTTAATGTTGAAAATTAACCTTGTAAGATATTATTCTTATACAAAATGTAACTAGTGTACAGAATACAAAGGCTTTCTCTAAAATGGGAACTCACAGATTTCTCCACCCTGAATATTATACACATAAAGAACTACCTGGTCTTTATATAGTTGTCTTCACTTACATTAAACTCGTTTTGAAAATTTGCTTTTCTTCCCTTCTTTTCCAGGAAAAAAGTACAAAGAATTTTAGTGATGAACCCAAACCATTAGGCTTTCAAGCTTGTTTTTTTACTCTCTCTCTCTCTCTCTCCAGATATTAGCAAATCTATACTGAGCAAATCTTCACTGTAGCTCATAAAGAAGCAATCTGATCCAGGCCAAGATAAAAATGCTCCATTAAACAATTATACAAAGTCAATATTTCTCAACTGCCAGCTTCCAGTAAATTTATCAATGGCTTGAACAGCTACTATAAGCCAAGTATATTTTCTTCATTCTGTGGACGATTAATCATTTGGAGAAATAAAAACCTAAAGTACTATAATTTTAAGAAGGTTTTGGTTTTATTGACTGCACATCACCATCTCTTCTTTCAAGGACTAGCCAGCCTTGTTACATGTGCAAAGGTTCAAATGTTCTTGCACTAGACTTGCATTTAGACTGTCCCTTCTAAAATGTTCCCTTAATCTACTCTTAGACCTGCGACTGTGTTCTCTGATAGGCTCTGTGGCTTTAGATAACAGCAGAAGACTGATACTGTATTGACAAATTTGCAGTATGCAAGTCCCCAGTCATAATATTAGTGTAGCATCTTTTATTTAGGAATCTTATAGCACTATGTAAATATTCATTAAACTTCTGGTTTTTACTCAAGTTGTAATATTTCTTTCGGACAGAGAGTACCTTGTTCTGTGGTTGAATACTACCTGGAACAACAGGATGACGGTACATGACTCGGACTCTTTCGGGTGGTACTGCAATCCTAATAGCAGAACCAGTTTTAATAATACTAATGGTAGTGGCAGGTCTAGGAAGAGGAGCTGTATTATTTCCTTTAATTTTAAGATGGAAAAAGTAAGATAGAGGTAAGTTATTTGCAGGAGGTCACTGAGGACATCTGGAGAGAAACAAGAATTCTTGCCTCCTAGTCCTGTGCTCTCAACCACCTCCCATCATTCTTTCCCTGAAGCTGTTTTTCAGTTCACAACATCTCCTTAGAAAAATATTTTATAAAGCATGCCTGGAGTCCATAGATGAAAATGACCATTATTAGTACTATCATTTTGAGGGTCAAGTGTTTCTTTACTCACGATGAGACTGTAAAGGTAGTAAATTAAAATGCTTAATACACTAATTTAAAATGCAGCAATGATAATGGGAGAAGGTTTTTAGTTTAATGTAATTGCTTCGTTGGGTAGTTTTTGTTTTTGCTTGTTTGTTGTACTCACCCTCCCCCCCATCAGTGACAATTCACTGATTAAAGCTACCACGAAAATGTGAATATGACAAACCAAAACCTATTTGACGCCCAAACTGGGTAATGCTGGCTGAAATGATGCAAGCATCAAGGTTGGGGAGAAAGAGTTTTGACTTTCCCAAATGGAGGCATTTACGGGTTACTGAGTATTATGACGCTGTATGCAGCATTGATCTAGATTAGCTGTAAAATGTAATTGTCAAAGGAAGTCTCTTGAGGTCAACTGGCTCCTAACTTAATTATACCTCCAGGTCATTTTGAATTTTGCATGATCATGTTTACTTAACAATAAATCTCCCATTCTCTAGGTATGCCACATAATTGAATTACTTTTTATCTTTTTCCTCCTCTTTTGAAAGCCCTAGTGATTTTTGGATCCATGAAATGAATTCAAGTGAAGAGAGTTTCAAAAGAAGTTTTGTGATTTGGCAAGGCTTTTGTGTCTATCAATATTTAATTGTATTCCATAAACACTAACAAAGTCATTTTTCTAGCCATCGTAGTCAGCTTCTGAAATATTCAGATGGGACTATTGAAAGGATTAAAAAGGAACAGGATGAACTTCCTTACACAAGAAGTCTGAGGGGCCTCTTCTTTTCTCATTGCATCCAAGTGAGTGCCATAAATCCTGATAGGTGAAGCTAAAACACTTTTGAGAAGATGATAAATCTCTGAGATAAGAGTCTGGTTGACTTTACAATGCACAGAAAAAAACCCTGAATTTCTGTAAGGGAAAAGCTTCCCCAATAAAGCTAAGAACATCCCCTAAATTCACCAGTCAAATGAATTATTATAGAAAAGGGAGGCAGAATGCACGATCTCTCAGAAACAGGAACATTTATGGTACACCTGAGACTCATTATCCCTCTCTTTTTCTATATGTTATACATCAGCTTTCAGGAAACAAAGCTCCATTCAAATCTGTAGGCTAAAGGCAGTAATGCGGCTGCCTAATAGAAAAGAAATACTGTAAGAGAAAAGTTCAACCATAAAGCAGCCCTGGATTTTACTATGGTGCAGTTAACTGCATTGGGATTCAAGTGGCAGCCTTTGGGCTGGAATAGAAAACCTTCACTTTAGTCTGGCTTCTCATTTCAAAAACTATTAGGATTGTATGCATCTCTGAACTCCTGGCAAGCATTATTATAAGCATTTCAAGGAAAAAAAACTACCCTAATAATGAGTACAATAAACACAAGGATTAGAGACGCTCATGCCATGTAAGGAACAACCTGTATAAGTCTGTAAAATATAACTGCCCAGAAGGGTATGGCTCTGCCTTTTCATCTGTAGATCACTGGGAGTGACAGCAGTGGGAATGTGACTGTCTTTGAGTTATTTTATTCCCCCCTTTAAAAAAAAAAAATAAATGTGTGCCTCATAAAGGTGACTGTCTTGCAATAAAGAGCTAGAACAGTAGAGATACACCTGGGTAAGCTCTAGCATTTCAGATCGGTCCCGTACATTACTAGGGTATGTCTTTTTTCCCCACCAGGGACCCTCCAATGTAAACCTGAGTATACAGTAAAGCTACATTGGCTTTGTATGAACCTCTTGCCAGTTTGTGGCATTCTGCCAATGCTCTGGCTTGTCTCAAATGTCTCTTGCTTCTGATGAGGCAGGAAAGTTTTAATGTCTTGCCTGAAAACCTGTAAAAGCCTCTTTCAAGCAGCTTTCCACAGAGCTGATTGAAAAATTTTAACTCTCTGGTACCAAAATACATTAAGAGAGGAAGTATTAGCATGAAACAATTTGGCAACTGAATTTCCCCAGGTATAAGCTCAAATATGCTACTGAATCATCTGAAAACCTTTAACTGGTTCACCTGTGGCCCTGAAGCCAGCTAATGCCAGACGTCCTTGTGCATATCTGTGCAACAGCAACATGAAAAAATGTTCTGTTCTCTGCCCACACAATAATAAGTGATGATGATGATTATAATAATCACATATGAAAATATGGAAGGTTCCATTATTCAGATTTGCACAATAACAAGTTTTTGTTATGACGGATAAATGAATGGGACTATCAAATAAACTTCTTAAACTAAAGGCTGCTACAATGAAAATGGGGGAAATGGAGGAATGTATCCTAAGGTGACTAAAGCTTGGGGAAGTAGGTGGTTTAATTCAGATCCAGTTGCTGTGGCATATAAAAAATGAAAAGGTGATAGGGTGTGAGAGTCCAACAGGAAATTATAGTTACTTCTTCAGAACAGAGACCAATGCATGTTGAAGAGCCAGATGTCTCATACATACCTTTGTCAACTCTTGTGCATTTGCAAGATTGTCAACAGCAATAGCCAGGAAGACATTCAGGAGTGTGTCTATTTAGACAGTAGCTAAGGAAAAATCTTTGTATACCAAGGAGTTAAATAATCTTCCACCCATGTCCCTCCATCTTGCAACCCACAGAGCATGATAGATATTGGAAAAGGAAAAATCTTATGAGGTTATGAACTCTTTTCTTCTGCCAGTATATAGGATTACTCCCTGGCTGAATATTTTCTAGTGCTTTGTCCAATCCATTTATCAATTAACCAACCTTGTGTCTTCCAGTGGAAGAAAACATATGTGACCTTTTCAGCCCCCCTTGCCCTCCCAGCTTCTCTACTCAAAACCCACAGCACAAACACACATATATGCAATTTTTGGCCTCATTTACTAGAAGTTAGTTAAAGATCAACCTTTAGCTGAACAGGAAACTGAAAAACAGTCTGACTGGGCACAATTCTCATACAGTGGTTGCCATTAAAAAAGAAATATTAATCTTTCCAGGTAAAATTTATCTCACTGCAATATTTACATATGAACTAAAGGAAAATACAATTTATCACAACAAAGTCAACATGACAATGAAAATATTACTTCTTTTCTCCCGAGCACTAAATAACTGGTCTCAGTATTATTATTCCTTCATTTATTACGAGCAGGAACATTTTCATTTTTGTCTTGATTTTAACTATTCTTTGTCCCTTTCTATCTCTTTATTGAGATTATTCTAGTTACTAGTTTGCAATAATGCCAAGAGAAAATTAAAAATAAGAACACCAAGCTGTTGTAAATGATATACATCTGCAATAAGGTGCTCACACCTAGACAGTCTGTGATGGCTGCATGGGTGTGGTGAGCTAAATTCAGAGATTCAGTGGGATTTGGGTGGGGGTTAAATCTGTTAAAAATGGCTGCCTGATAGCAGGTAAGGTGCAGTGGGGGGCTAGCATGCTGGGGAGAATCAGAGGTCCACCAGGGGATGGGGGGGGACAGGTATAACCTACAGGTGCGGTGAGGCAGGCAGACTTGACCAACAGGAGGATCAGGGGGATGGGGTGCAGGTGTGATCTGTGGGGTGTTGCTGGGGTCTGGAAAGGTCTGGCAGGATCAGGGGGGCTCACTGGGCTCATGGGGGGCCTTAGGAGTCCCCAGGTCCTTTTTTTAGCTCCAATTGCCCCCTTCCCCATGAACCTATACCTCCCCATCCTTCCCCCCCAACCAGGAGCGGTGGGCTCCAGCAGCGGTGGTACTTGCTTGGCTCCAGCAGCGGTGGCACCTGGAGCAGCTTGTGAGGTTGGGGGTTGGGGGTGGCAGGCTGCTTTGGGGAGAGGTGAGAGACTGGGGTGCAAAAAATAGTCTGGTGCAGGGTGCGAGGGAGGAGGGCATGAAAAGCGCAGCCCTGGGGCTGGGGGTTGGCAGCTGGATATTCCCAGCTCCGGGGATGTGCATGGAAAGAGTACAGAAGTTCCATGCACTGGTTAGACCTAAATTGAGTAAGTTTGTTACTACATAGATCCAGGTTTACTTTAAACCAGGTTCCACAATTTTTAGACCAGTTTGTGTGCATTGAACTTCTGTACCGTTCCAGGTTTTAATTGATATCCGGTCATAGACTGGGTCTGTAAGTGTAAGGTCGGCACCAGGAAGAGCTAAGTTTAAACTGGGTGGCCATTTTGTACCCGATTAACCTCCCCAAATGTCTATACTTAGCTGTGATGTCTCTGCCAAAAGGGAACCGAGAGGTTCATACATATATATTGTGTTCTTTCACTGAAGGCTTCCAAAGGGCTTTACAGCACTATGGTATACATATATGTATAGCAATTATTCTAACCAAAAGAGAGTAGCTGTGGCACAAGTGTTTAGGACTAAAAGAAGATATAAACACAGCCAAATGAAATGGCTTAGGGAATTTTAGGCAGACTATAATTGATCTCATAAAGAGTACATAGGTTGTAACTACTGATTTGGTCTGTGCACTTGGTAAGATGCACAGGGCACTGCATTGTGGGAAAGACATTTAGAGAAGAAAGCAATGCAGAAGAAAGAGTAAAAGCAGTATATGGGGAGGATGGAGAGGACAAAGGACCTGTAACGTGGTCGGTACCCTTTCTCAGATCTCTGGGAAAGAAGCAGTGCATGTTTAGGAAGATGTCGATGTGCAGCCAGACTTCTTTTTTTCTTTAGGTTCTGGATTTTCCACCGCAAACAGTGAATTTCAACATTGTCCATGTTCTGGTAGTGCTGAAGTGAAATTGTCACCATGACGGTCAGGAAAATATGTGAGAAAAAGGGATTTTTGTGGGTGATATCTTTTATCGGAACTTTTACTGATTCTTTCCCAGAAACTTGAGGAAGTGTATTGTGGTACCCAAAACCTTGTCTATCCCAACCATGCAGTTGGGCCAATAAAAGATTTCAGCTGCAAAAAACCTCGCTTCCTGCATATTTCCTGAACCATCATGGCTACAGCACCACTTGAACACCACCAAACATGAAGAATATCTAAATTCATATACTGGGGGGGGGTTCTGCCCACTAGCAACTTTAAAGGGATAGGGGGAGAGTCACTGGGGTATCTCCAGGCCAAGGCAGACTAAGAAAAAGTTGCCCATTATGTTTTGAACATATTAAGTCACCTGAGATAGTAGCGTTTATGATATGGAGCTGTTCCCTCTGGCACAGAGACCTCTTTGAAGTTTGATCCATAGGAATTGCTTCTTTCTTTTTTTCCAGGTAGAGCCAGCAGAGGTGCAAGAATATCCTTCCTTCTGAGTCCAGACAATGACAAATAAAATTGCTGAAACCACCATTTCCTGCCTAGGCTGCTGCCTCCTGAATGGTTGCATTTCTGACAGAAATTAAGTTCCATTAACTTTTGATTTTCTAAAGAGAAATTACATTTCTCAGTTCTTTAATTGCCAACTGAAACCCAGTGCCTAATGTTACAACATGGAGTGGCAGGTGCAGACGCCGTGATACCCCTTGTTAGCTGGTACTGAGTGACAAAGACTATCTGGACTCTTCCACTCCAGTGTTTCCACTGCTTTTAAAATGCCTCCAAGTATTCCCATCAAAAACCCACAGAGACTAAGAAACTAAATAATGAAGCTGCTTCCTGTCCCTGACGCCTATCCACACAGAAAATATCCTAACCCCTGCAAACGTATCTTGCAACAATGGACTCTGCTGAGCTGCTCCATCTTCGAACTGGTGCATTTTGGTAGAGCTGTAGCCATGAGAATCTTTTTACATGATTTAAAAAACTACTAAATATCAAGCCCAATTCTGCTCCTGTGCCACTTATGCCACCTCACTTAAGAATTATTTGAGACAAGTATCTTCTGGCCTATGAACAATGGAGGATTTTGTGCAACTAAAAAAATCAAGGAAAACTTCAGTTTCCCTCTTTTTGTTTTAAGCATACAAATTTCTTGTACTTTTCCTTGCAGAAAGACTCAAAACCATAAAGTGATCCCAAGAAGTAACTGGACTCCATTTATGCTGTTAGAGGCTAGGGAGAAATCCACCTGAATTTTGTCAAAATAGACTCCGGAAGAGGAATAAAGATCATAATTCCTTATGTTTGAAGGAAGCCAGGCAGCAGCAAAACACTATTTTGCAGGCCCATCCCAAAATGCTGAAGCTGGTCTAATGAGAGCACCATTTAGTCCATCTCTTTTAAACCTCCTTGTCATAAACAGGAACTTATCAAATACTGAGAAACAGAACATGAATTCCTCTTACAGAAAAACTGCCAGGTCTTTCACTTTGCCACTGCACAGCCTCCCAGATGGAGCAAGATAGAGCTAAGAAAATCAATTCCCAGAGCTGGTCTGATATCAGTGATGCAAGTAAGAAAAATGAGCAGGACCATTTAAATTTCAGCTCCAGTGAAAGTCCATGCAAGACAGGCTGGTGGCAAATTACTGTTTGCCAAATGAAAAATTCAGACTGGAAAAGCAGCAGTCTGTTCAAGTTTCTATGTAGGTATTACAGTGACAGAGGGGGGAAGTAATGGTAAATATTGTTTGGTTTTCTTTTAAATAATTGCCAGAGTCCCTTTAACTCAAGAATTAGAAACAGAATAAACATTTTATGCTACATCTAATCCATAACTCAGCTAGTGCAGGATTGTTCTCTGAAGGGTATTCTACAATACACTACCCAATCTAGCTTCAAATCTGTTAAGCAATGGGGCTTTCCTTAGGAAGTTAAGCCTCAGGCTAACAAATATAACTGTATCCTCCTTCCATTTTGCCATGCATTAATATTACGTCTCTCGCTGCACATTACATGTATTACGCAATTACTGTATTTGAGTGTATAGGTCGATGCGGTATAGAAATTGACCCCATTTTTCTGATCCAAAAAGTTAGGTCGACTTATACACCGGATCTATGAAATTCCTAACTTTTTGGATCAGAAATATGGGGGCGACTTATTTGTGCACCCTCACTGCAGGTCAGGCACCTGGGGGCTGGATACGTACCACAGTACAGCTCACAAGGGACAGGGATGGGCTTGGTACTTGACTGGCATGGCCCAGGCAGCACTGCTTGCAGGGGACGAGGGCATGCCAGCAAGTGCCAAGCCCGGCGCTGCTTACAGGGGATAGGGACGGAGATGGGGCTGGGCTCAGGGCTCAGCTGACACAGCTCTATCCCCTGTGAGTGGCACTGCCTGGGCTGCACCAGCCGAGCACTGAGCCCAGCCACATCCCCTGCAAGCGGCGCTGCCAAGCGCTGAGCCCAGTCCTGTCTTCTGCAAGTGGCACCAGGCTCAGTATTCAGCTGGCATGGCTGGGCTTGGTGCTCAGCAGCGCTGCTTGCAGCAGATGCTCGGCTGGCGTGGCCCAGGCAGTGCCACTCACAGGGGATGGGGCTGCACCAGCTGAGCTTAGCCCTGTCCTTATCCCCATCCCCTGAGAGA